TAGGGAAAAAGAGCGCTTTACATATTTTGATATAACCTTTTTTACAAGGTTAAGTTTACATTATATATATTGGGGTTATTGAGACGGGAGTATAAAAATATGCATCTCTTGTACTTCTTCCAAATCAATATTTTGCATATTTTTTTTTTTTTACATTTTTTAAATTTAGTCCTATAAAGGGCAATACTGATTCATTTAATGTTTATCTCTATCTATACACTTTGATGTAAATGATTTTATGTGGTTTTTGCATGTATTTTTGCCGATCCCTTTGTTTTTTTCTCACTAAACATTCTGAATAGCTTTTCTACCTCTGTAAAAATGATCTACTTTGTTATTATTGTGTCTCCTAAAAATAAAATACTTGATGTTATTTTATTCATCAATTTGATGAAGTTTTAATAGTTAAGTTTAAAACAAGTCTATTTTTATCTGACTTCAGTTGTGGGTAGAGAGATTTATCTGCTAATTATTTTGCTTTGTACAAACTGTTGCACTAAAAACAGCTAGCCAATTGTGACTCTGGCTCTGGGAACAATGTGCCTGCAACTAAGCCTCCTTCCTCACATTTACGCAGACTATTTGAGGGACAGCCCTTGAGTTCTAGAAAGTGATGGTTTATTTTGTGAATATTCTAGCCATATTTGAAAGTGGAGAAGACCCAAAAATAAATCAACTGCAGGCTGTATGTATAGAGTGTCTCTGCCTAGTTCTACTTAACATCAAACTAAAAACAAATTAACTAAATTTTTAAAATTTACTATAATACCTAAATTTAAAAGAATCCTTACATAAGTTTTATTGTCCCTACCACATATGCTTTTACTCTTTAGATATGGAAACAGCTATAGAAGGATAAGAAAAATTGTATATCCGAATAAAGACATCTTTTTCTCGTCTTAGTAACTAGCATCCAAGATCAGCAAAGAATTCAATTTGTACCATCAAAATGTGCATATAAATGGGTTTTAAATATATCTGAGAAACTGCTAGTAATATTTCCAAATATTATATAAATCAAACCATTCCTTACTTATTAGACTTTTAGACTACTCAAATTGTAATTATACGGAACCCTAAAGTAAACACTAAACTGTTAGCTCTTTCCTATATCCAGCCCTCTCTTCTCTGCATAATTGTTCATCAGATACTACTCTCAGATTCACTATCTGTTTAGAAAAGAACAAGGCCAATGTGAGATAACTGTTTCCTTCTTATTCCTTACTTAGCTGCCAGTATAGTTTCCTAATTCAATTAAATACCCAATTTCTTTAGTATTAAAATGAGTTAACCAAAGCCTCTCTAGATAAAAATAACTTTTTAATAAAAAAACGAAGCCTATATAAGATGGGAAAAGAACTGTCTACAGGTGGAGGAAGAGTTATTTATTACTTCATTACCTTCCATCTCTTAATTGCTACCGAAAATGTATCCAGTTTACATAGGTCTTGATACAAGGAAAATAGGACAAAACATCTCAAGATTGAGATGTAGATAAAACTACTTACTTTTATTTATTTATTATTTTCCCCAAAATTTTAGACGGTAGTACAACAGTCAATCATCTGACTAACCAATGCAACTAAGGTAAAATGGGGGGAAAGAGAACATGTCTGTTAAATAAAAATGAGTTTAAACCAGTTTTTCTTGAAGGAGGGGGCCATAAATAAGAATAGAGTTTACCTGATTCAAAGGTTGGCATTTTCAAATCACCTTGGTTCAGTTCTGTGCCATATTTTAATTTGTGATACTTGGCCCTGAAAATTTAAAAATAAATTGTTGAAAGAAAAAATTTTTCTTTTTCTACACAGTTAAGTAAATACTGGTATGTTTCTCCAATAACTAAAACATGGTATGAATCTCTGTTTCTTTAAACTTTATTTGCAAAAGAAGTTGGAGAAAAAATGTACTGCTCTAAAAGGAAAAAAAAGGTAAATTATCCAACTAACATATATACCCAGTTAATGGAAAAATTTTCCTGTTTTTAAAAAATTCCAAAACTTAGATTTTACTACAAAAAGTTATTTCAATTTAAAGATTTTAATCTCTCTTTCTTTTCTCATACGAGAATCAAATCAAAATATCACCTTGCATTTTGAGCACGGTTTTGTATCTTTCAAAGAGCTTTCAAATACATTGTACAATGATATAAAAGAGAGGATAATGTCTTAATTTATTTTATTCATATAATAAAATGAGACATACATACCTTTCTTGTTTTAATGCATACTCTAACATCTTTATTCTTCTTACTAAATCCTTCTTCAAATTTTCTTGACCTTTTCTTTCTCCTTGCAAAAATGCTATTCGGGCCTAAAAATATAAATGGTCCACTTATTTTCATTTTTTCTTAACTATACATAGGAAACTGAAAAAAGGAAAATGATAAAGGTAAACTTCTACACTTTTATTTATCACAGCAAGACTTAAAATTTACAAAACTAGTTGATCAAACTTTGTCAGATAACACGAGCACTTTAAAAATAAAGATAACTACAAATTAACTACTTGCTTACAGTCCTTAAGGTCACTAATATTAATAAATTTACATAATCTTGAAGAAAATTTTATACATAAAAATTGTATCTAATTCCTAACACATCAGAAGGAACTGAAAAGTAAAATTATATTCACAAGCAGATATATATTTCCCCCAAAATGAGATGTTTCAATAAACAGTAATACCTCAAAAGCATTTATTTCATGGAATACTTAAAAATTTATGATCTTTTCCATTATACCCACCCCATTCCAAACTGTTTCAATTCTTGAAACAACAAAGCCATAGTACTGCTAATACAGCAGTACTCTACAAATCTGAAAGGGCTATGTTCCAAAATCCCTAGCAGATGTCTGAAATCTGGGATAGTACTAAACCCTATATATACTATGTTCTTTCCTATACATACCTATGATAAAGTTTAATTTATAAATTAGGCATAGTAGACATCAAAAACAACTAATAGTAAAAAAGAACAATTGTAACAATGTAATGTAATAAAAGTTATGTGAATATGGTCTGTCTCTGATAAACGACATGGCTACTAAGTGACTTTACAGGCAGGTAGCATATACATCATGGATACCCTGGACAAAGGGATGATTCACATCCTGAGCAGCAAGGTGCAAAATAGTTGGAGATTTTATGATGCTACTCAGAACGGAGTGCAATTTAAAACTTATGAATCGCTTATTTCTGACATTTTCCATTTAGTATTTTTAGACTAAAGTTGATCATTAAGTAATATTCCATTGTACATATGTACCAAGGACACTTTGGTTGTTTCCATGTGTTGGCCACCATGAACAATGGTGCTATGAGCATCAGGTTGCATATATCTTGCAGATAAATGTTTTCAAGTTTTTTGGGTAAATACCCAGAAGAGGGATTGCTGCATCATATGGTAATTTTATTCTTAATTTTTTGAGAAACCTCCATACTGTTTTCCATAGTGGCTTTACCAATTTACATAAAACTGGAAGCAACAAATAAACATGACAGACTCATGGACACGGACAGTGGATTAATGGTTACCACAAGCGAGGGGGGCAGAGAAGGTAGAAAGGGGTAAAGGGGGTCAAATACTTGGTGACAGAAGGAAATTTAACTTTGGGTGGTGAATATACAATGCAATATACATATGACATATTACTGAATTGTATACTTGAAACCTATTTGATCTCATTAACCAATGCCACTCCAATAAATTTAATAGAAAAAGGGGGAAAAAAATCAACAAATTACAGGAAAAAAATCGATGATGCTGATTCTTTGAAATAAATCAGTAAAATTAACTTCTAAGTAAACTAACCAAGAAAAGGCACAAATTAATAACAAATGTGAAAGAAGAGTCATTAGTAAAGATCCTATAGATACTGTTTAGATAATAAAGGAATATTATGAACTCTACGTCCACAAACTTTTTTAAATTTACTGAGGTAACACTGGTTAATAACATTAAACTTTAGGTGTTCAACATTATAATTAGATATCTATATATTCTATTGCATGCTCACCACCAAAGATCCAGCTTCTTCCAATATCATATATTTGACAATTTTTTTAAAAATTATAGTTGACATACAGTATTGTATTAGTTTCAGGTGTACAACATAGTGATTTGACATTTATATATACATTATGAAGTGATCACCATAGGTTTAGTAACTATCTGTTGCCATATAAAGTTATTACAATATTATTGACTATATTCCCTAAGCTGAACATTAAATCCCCATGACTTACTTTATAATTGGATATCTGTACCTTTATTTCCCTTCGTCTTTTTTTGCTCTTCCCCTACCTCACCTCCCCTCTGGCAACCATTAGTTTGTTTTCTGTGTCTACGAGTCTGTTTCTGCTTTGTTCATTCATTTTGCTTTTTTAGATCCCACATATAAGTGAAAACATACTGTATTTGTCTTTCTCTGACTTATTTCACTTAGTATAATACCCTCTAGGTCCATCCCTGTTTTTTGGCAAATGTCAAGACTTCATTCTTTTTTTTTATGGCTGAGTAATATCCCACTGTGTGTGTGTGTGTGTGTGTGTGCGTGCGTGCGTGCATATACTTCTACGTCTTCTTTATCCATTAACCTATCAATAGGTACTTAAGTGCTTCCATATCATGGCTATTTTAAGTAATGCTTCAATGAATACAGGGGTGTATATATATTTTTGAATTAGTGTTTTCAATTTATTTGGATAAATACCCAGAAGTAGAATTGCTATGTAATATGGTAGTTCTAAGTTTCTGAGGAATCTATGCCCACAAATTTGGTAACTCAGATGAAATGGACTAATTACTTGGAAGATACAATCTACCAAAATTCACACAGGAGAAACAGATCATTTGAATAGCCCTCTATTAAAGAAACTGAACCAATAATTAATAATTTTCCAAACCAGAAGGCACTAGGCCCTGATGGGTTCACTGGTGAATTCTACCAAACATCTAAGGAAGAAATGATACCAATTCTCTACATCTATTTAGGAAATAGAAGCAGAGGGTACACTTGCTAATGTAAGTCAGCATGACCCTAATACCAAAACTAGATATCACAAGAAAGGAAAACCACCGACCAACATCTCTCATGAACACAGATGTGAAAATCTTCCACAAAATATTAACAAATTGAATCTAACACACTCCCTCTCTCTCTCTACACACACACACACACACACACACACACACACACACACACACACACACACACATCGTCTGTGCGTGCACGTACATGTGAAGAGAGAGAATATTACATAACAAATAAGAGTCATTTCAGGTTATTTCAGGTATGCAAGGCTGGCTCAACATCTCAAAGTCTGTTAATGTAATCAATATCATTAATTGGCTAAACAGGTTAAAAAAGAAAAAGCATATGACCATATTAAGATTCAGAAAAAGCATCTGACAAACTTGAACACCATGACAAAACCCCTCAGCAATCTAATAATAGGAACATTTGCAACTTGATAAAGGTCATCTACCAAAAACCTACTGCTAAGTATCCTATTTAATAGAAACTAGATGCTTTCCCTCCTAATATTGGGAACAAGGGAAGGATGGCCCCTTTCCCCACTCTTACTCAACATCACACTCAAAGTCCTAGCTAATGCAACAGACAAGAACATTTTAACTGGAATGATACACAGAGGATTAGCATGGCTCCTGTACAAGGATGTTACATAAATCTGTGAAGTGCTCCATTAAAAAAAAGAGAAAGAAATTTAAAGTATACAGATTGAGAGGGAAGAAATAAGACTGTCTGCAGATGGCACAACTGTCTACATAGAAAATTCTAAAGAATTAACAACATCATCAACAACAACAACAATAAAAAAACTCCTGGATCTAATAAGCAATTATAGCAAGGTTGTAAGATACAAGATTAATATACAAAAGTTAACTGCCTTCCTATATATCAGCAATGAATAACTGGAATTTGAAAGTGAAACTAAAAATACATTTATATTAGAAAATACCATTATATTAGAACTAAAAAAATGTAGATATAAAGCTAACAAAAGATGCACAAGGATCTATAAGGAAATATACAAAAAAAAAATCTGCTGAAAGAAATCAAAGATCTAAATAAGCGATATTCCATGTATGTATATTACATGGATAGAAAGACTTGGTACTTTGAGATGTCAAGTCTTCCCAACTTGATCTGTAGATTCAATGCAATCCCAAGGAAAAGCCCAGCAACAAAAATACCAATTATTTTGTGGATATGGAAAAATTGATTCTACACTTTATGCAAAAGGCAAAAGACCCAGAATAGCCAACATAATATGGAAGAGCAACAAAGTCAGAAGATTGACACTGCCAGACTTAAAGACTTACTCACTGTATCTATGTAGCTGTCTCTCTCCCTACCTCTCCCCATATATAAAATACATACATTTAAACTATACTATGTGCATATATATATACATTAAAATATATAATATATATTAAATGTACAGTACAAAACTATTAAACTTCTAGAAGATAACACAGGAGAAAATCTAGGTCACCTTAGGATGAGTTTCTAAATACAAAAACCAAAAGCATGAAAAAAATTGATAAACTGGATTTTATTAAAATTGAAAACACTTGTTTTCTGGAAAAGACACTATTAAAAGAATGAAAATACACACCAGACTGGGAGAAAATACACAATACAGACTGGGAGAAAATATTTCCAAAATACCAAAGAATTCTTAAAACAACTATTAATATCCAACTCATATTAACAACCCAATTTTTAAAAAGGCAAAAGATATGGACACCTCGCCAAAGAGATATGGATGGCAAATTAAGCGTATAAAAATATGCTCCACAAAATCACTGTTATCAGGAAAATGCAAATTAAAATGATGAGATACCACTGCACATCCATTAGAATGGCTGAAATTCAAAACGCTGAACAAGATGTGAAATAACACTGTCATTCATATCTGGGGAAATGCAAAATAGTACAGCCACTTTAGAATACTCTTTGGCAGTTTATTACAAACTAAACATACTCTTACCATAAGATCCAGCAATCAAGCTCTTTGGTACCTATATAAATTAACCGAAAATCCGTGTCCAAAAAAATCTGTACCTGAATGTTCCAACCTGCCTTATTCATAACTGCCAAAACTTGGAATTGACCAAGATATCCTTCAATAGATCAATGGTTAAACAATCTGTGGTATATTCATACATGGGACTATTATTCATTAATGAAAAAGAACGATCTATCAAGCCATGAAAAGACAAGGAGGAAACTTAAATGTATATTCCTAAATGAAAGAAGCCAGTCTGAAAAATTTACATACTGCATGATTCAAACTATAAGACATTCTAGAAAAGGCAAAACTACAGACAGCAAAATACACCAGTGGTGGCCACAAATTTGGGGGTAAGGAAGACAAACAGGTGAGCGTAGGGAATTTTTAGAGGTGGTGAAACTACATATTCTGTATGATATTGTGGATCCATAATATTATGCTTTGTCAAAACCCATAAACGAGTACAACACAGAACAAACCTTAAATTATGCACTTTAGTTAATAAAATATCAAAATTGGTTCATTAATTGGAGCCAACATAACACACTAATGCAAGATTTTAATAGAGGAAAACAGGGTTTGGGGCAGGGACATGACATACATGGGACCTCTATGACTTAATTTTCTGCCCTTTTCTAAAATTGTTTAAAATAAAGTATTAATTAACAAGTGCTAATAAGAATGTGGAGAAGTCAGATCTCTTGTGCTGATGGGATTGTAATATGATGCAACTATTACGTAAAACAGTATGGAGGTTCCTCAAAAAGTCAAAAATAGAACTAGTTACTCCACTTTGGGGCACATATCCAAAAGAATTGAAAGCAGGGTCTTGAAGAGGTATCTGCACATCCATATTCATAGCAGCCCTATTCACAACAGCCAAGAGGTAGAAGCAACCCAACTATCCATCAGTGGATGAATGGATCAACAAAATGTGGTATATACATACGAAAAAAAAAAAAAATTATTCGGCCTTAAAAAGCAATGAAATCCTGTCACATGCTACAATAACATGCTATATCAAATAAGGTAGTCACAAAAAGTCAACTACTACATGAATCCACTTCTATGAGGTCTCGAAAGTGGTCAAATTGATAGAAACAGAAAGTAGAATGGTGGTTACTAGGGAGGTAGAGGTGAGGAATTGATGTTTTTAATGGGTTTAATGTTTCAGATTTGCGAGATTAAAAAGTTCGGGAGATTTGTTTCACAACAATGTGACTATACATTACACTACTAATTGTACACCTAAACATGGTTAAGATGGTAAATGCTTTTTAATGCAATTTTTTAAAAAGTATTTTTAAAAAATTAAGTTTTTTTTTAAAAAAGGCAAACTACATGGAAGATATCTGCAAAACATATAGCAGAGGATGGGCTCATAAATATAATTTCTATCTACTCTCCAAAATGATAAACCACCTAATAAAAACAGACAGCCTGATGGAAATATTGTAAAAAGACTTACACTACCAGATCACAAGGTATTGAAATGGCCAATCAAGATATAAAACAGTTCTTAACCTAATAGTATTCAGAGAAGTAAAATTAAAAATACAATATAGTAACAATACCAGATTGGCTAAAAAAAAAATTTAACAGCACTATTTGTTGAGGAAGATATGAATCAACCTATAGTCTCATAAACAACTTACGGGCCATAAACTGGTATAGCCTCTTTGGAAAAGTTTTGCATTATCTATTAAAGTTGAAGATACATTAAAACCAAAAAATTGCTAGACATATATCCAAAAGGAATGCGTGTATGGATGTGCATACTAGGAAACATAATAAAATATTCACAGGACCATTTTTTATAGTAGCCAAAGACTGCAATCTAAATATCCATCAATTAAAAAACATAAATTGTGGTATATGAGTACAATGAAATCCTACACAGTACAGAAAATAAATGACAGCTACACACAATGTAGATGAACCAAGATAATGTTAGGAAAAAAGCAAGACATGAGACAACATGTATATGATTCCATTTACAGAGTGCTCACTATTAAGCAAAAACTAAACTAATGAGCAATGCACACCTAGATAACAAAGAAACAATTCTACAAAATGTCAGAATACTGGTTATCCTTATGTGAGAAGGAGGCAGTGTCATTTGAAAGGGGCAGGTTGTAAGGCTTCTGGGGTGTTGGCAATGCTCTATATCTTGACCTCTCCAAGAGTGATATAATGGTTGTTCTCTTTATAACTGCTTAAACTGTGTGATTATGTTTTATACACTTTTTGTATATTAATTATATTTCACAATTTTAAAATGTTTAAAAAATTAATCTCGCTCTTAAGGGTTAGAAATAAGGAGTACATTTTATTATAAAGATAAAGTCAAAGATCTAGGTCCTTAATTACGAGGAATAAAACATTCTACAATAAAATATGCAGTAACTTCAGTAACGGAAGAACTTTAAGAACCACATTTTTTAATTTTTTTTTTTATTGCAAAACTCAACTAATTTTAACATGTTCCTAATTATTTGACTTCAAGGGTATAAAAGTACATAGATAATTAACCTGAAATTCATTATTACAAATATACTGTACATGCAAAAATTACACTGGCCCTTATTTTATTTATCTCTTGAGTTTATTCAACAATCAGGATGTGGTTATAACACAACAATCTAAAAAAATTAGTTAATATTGACAACAGGTAACTTTTAACAGCAAATGTCTCCAGTGCAAAATGATCAACACTAATTCAGCTAATATCAGTCTAAAGTTATTTCACAATTACTGGTTTCCGATATTTCTAAAATAAGATTATCTCGCTTAAAACAACAAAATAAATTACTTAATAAAATGTTTTACTGTAAGTTTTCTTATTTTAAACAAAATTTAAACTAAACACAAACACTAGCTATAAATGAATTTTATTTAATGATTTTAAGACATTCTTTAGAACTATTGGAAAACTGAGATATTTAAAAACTACGCCACCACTGGAGAACTTTAACATCCAAGGACTTAACAAAATTGTGTTAAATATTTTAGGTTTCGAAGGAAAGTAAAGGAAAAATCAGGTTATAACAACCAATAAATAAATTCTTAACACCACTATTTAAAGTAGTGGGCTATCAATAAATGTTAGTATCCTCTCCCCTTAATGGTCAACTGAAATTATACACGTGATTCTATTCCAAGCACTTAAATACTTCAGGTAAAGCAAGGTTCAGCTGTAAATAATTTAAACTATAAGTATATAGAGTCAACCAGCTCACTGGCATTTTACATAAAACATAAAATACCCAAAAAAAATCCGTATCACACAAAGGTTTGAAAACCTAGCTAAGAGAATCATCAAGGAGCTTAGATTTTAAACTCATACACACACTTAGCCTCATAATTTAGTGTGCTGAGGCACACTGCATGGAAATCTGTATAAACATCTAGTAATACAATCAGTTCCCCACTTAAAGTGCATGCAAAAGGCATACTCCTTTCAAGAAGAATAAAAAGCTTGCTTAAATATATAGCCTATAAATATTTTCATTTTCCAATTTTATACCTAGCTAAGAATTCCAGGGAAAAGAGAAACACTAACAAAATACTAAGATTTCCGGAGGCAAATAAAATCTCTATTATTGGTATGAGAAAGGCTCTTTCCTTTCCATCTGGGTGAAGCCATCAGGTAAGCCAAGATGAGCACTTACA